CTTTCCAAAAAAATTGTGCCCGTTTGTAGGTACCAGTACACTATTAAAGTACAGTGCTTCTAATAATGACCTTGTCAGTATTGGTAAGTTTAAATAACGTTCTGCGCGAATTTCGAATTTCCGGCCCCCTCTATTGGAAAATCCTGGATCCGCGCCTGTAGTAGTAGTAGTGAAGTAGAAGTAGAAGTAGTAGTAGTAGTAGTAGTAGTAGTATTAGTAATAGTAGAAGTAGAAGTAGAAGTAGTAGTAATAGTAGTAGTAGTAGTGGTAGTAATAGTAGTAGTAGTAGTAGTAGTAGTAGTAGTAGTAGTAGTGAAGTAGAAGTAGAAGTAGTAGTAATAGTAGTAGTAGTAGTAGTAGTAGTAGTAGTAGTAATAGTAGATGTAGAAGTGGTAGTACTAGTTGTAGGTGTAGTATAGTAGTGGCTTTAGTCGTAGTAGCGTTAGGCGAGACGTCAAAAATAAATATACCAGCCAGCGGCAGCTAACTGCACTTGTGCGTCCTGGCTGCATTTTTTAAATTAGCTCAGCCGGCTACGGCTGGCGGTAGGAAATGGCATTCAAAAGCATGCGCCGGCTGCCGCCTTTTGAATGGAAACCGAGCCTCAGATCCCAGCCTGGCGCAAGCCGGCTGGGTTAATAAGTGAAAAATAATTGCCCCAGCCAGGCTTCGGCCGTAATTGCAGCCTCGATGCGCCAATACGTGAGGCGGCAGCCTGCTGGTATCGATATTTTTGACGCCTCGCCTTAGAAATAGCAACAAAATTAAGAGGCGACCTCGCCTCGAATCTTCCTGGCAATACAAACACGCGCTGCTGTGGAAACAAAATGTGTATACACATGTAGCATTAAACCTTTTTCGCAAGCCTGAATGGTTGGTATACAGTTAGTAACAGTCTGCGAGATTGAGTTAATTAATTTTCTGTCAATACCATCTGCTTTTGTCTATGCTGTGATTGACGTATCGGCCTTGTGCTTTCCGGTTAGGAGATAAAAATTAAATGCATGAAAGTCAATTGACTTTACTAGAACAAGCGGGTAGATTGATAGCTGATGTTTGGGGTGAACTCCGCCCCTTCCCCGTACACACACATATATAATAGATATAAATGGAAAGATTTTAATTCCAAAAGGAGCTTAATCCATTTTGGTAACTTCAGAGAAAACAGAAAATATTTACCTGATTTTGTACAGGCGTCTATGAAAAAGAAGGTGCATTTTTTCATAATTGCTCTCAACATTTAGATAAATAATTGTGCTGGAATTGTTTTGGAATTAAGCTCTGCAGATATATAAACGTGTCGGCATAAGATGTCGAAAAATGATAAAGAAGAAAAGTTTCATCCTTTTAATCCAAGACTTTTTATTAGATCACCAACATATTAGATTCAAACATTGAGTCTTTGTGAAGTGATTCGAACAAAGAAAATAAGAATAACGTATACACGCATATACATATGAATTTATATAAATAATAATGATAATAATAATAATAGTTTATACAAAATATCAGTAGAAAGAGGTCTCATAGATATGTGGTAAGAAATTAATTGCACGAGAAAAACAATTTTCGTATCTTCATCTTCATTGCTTCTCTAAAATAGTGTGAATATATATCATGAAACATTGTAAAAAAACAGTTTTACTGTAGATCGCTTTAAGGAACATCTAAAAACATTTCTAACGACAACAGGTTTCTCCGAAATACATTTTGTTCTCTGAAAGTATTTGTGTTAATAATAATAATAATAATAATAATAATAATAATGATAATAGTAAATTTATAAAGCGCACACACTGTCCAGGGACGCTCATGGTGCTAGCTCAGCAACAGTTCTACAAATAAAGTAAATGTTTTTTTTTGATAATAGAGTTATACCATCATAAATTTGAAAAAAAATTGCAACATTTGTATCACCCATTTCAATCCTCAGCTCTGCCCGGTGTGGCCCGATACCCTCCAGCTGCTCCGTTCACTGACAATGTCAGGGACTAGTCCAGTCAGCACATGATTCACAGGAGCTCTAGCATCCGAGGCCACCAGGCCCCACATGGGCAGCCAAAGAGACTAAAGGGTGATTACTAATTAAGTTCAGATGTATATACAAATACAATATTAATGATAGATTTAGTAAAATGAACTTATACAACTTAAGGAAATACTGGGTTACAGATTAAGACGATCTTTAAAGTTGGAGTATGTTGCAATACAGCGAAGTGATTGGGGAAGCTTATTCCATAATGCATGCGAAAAAGCATTGTCTCACCATGAATGATGGATGCGGGGAATTTGCAGCAAATTATCACTTCCAGATCTTAAGGTACGAGTCGGATTATAGAGGTGTAGCGAATCTTCAATATATTGAGGCGAAATTCTATGGAGGGCCCGATAAACAAGTAACATAATTTTGAAGTGGACCCTCCCCTGGACAGGTAGCCAGTGAAGAGAGCATAATATAGGCGAATTAGAGGGCATTCTTGGTGTGAAAGTAAGGAGACTTGCACTGGAATTTTGGAGGGATTGCAGTCTGACTTGCTGCTGTTTGGTGAGTCAAAAAAGAATAAAATTATAAAAAATCTAAGCGATATGAGATTAATGCATGGATTAATTGTGCACATAGTTGTCGAGTCAAAGATTTTCGTATAAACCCAACGTTCTGCAGTTGATATCCCACAGACTTTGATATGCTACAACCATGTTCAATAAATTGCATATTTATTGAATTACATTCAGGGCTCAAATTAATTTTTTGTCCACGGAGGCTCTTCCCCCGAAAAAGAGCCCCCGTGAGCCTTCTCACGGGGGCTCTTTTATTACTGACGGGGGCTCTAAATACAAATATCCATTGAATTGGTACCTATGATACTCCTCAATTATTTGCTATTTCATCATTATCATTTTAATCAGTATTTTCCCTCTTACAAATTTACAAGCTACATAGCTGTTACTGGCCTGTGTATATAATATATACGCATACAACACTGATCTTTATGATGTCTTTAACGTGACATATCTTCTTCTCCCCTTGCAAACGAAAAAGAAAACATGGTCATTAAAAGGGATTAAGCGACAAATAATGATTGTGATTCAAATTGATGCGAATATTTGTTTGAATAAGCACTATTATTCACCGGAATCATTTTTGTAAAAACAACTTTTACAAATCTCAGCCATGCTTACTGAGTTGAGACGTTCCATTCAATTTAAAATACCCATTTCATAATACACTTCTCCTAATCTCAAAGTGATCTTACAGCACAGTGGGAGAATTGCATGGCTGAGATTTGTAAAAGTCGTTTTTACAAAGAAGATTCTGGTGAAAAGCATTGCATATATTCAAAAAAATCCTTGCATCAATTTGAATCACAATGATTATTTGTCGCATGGCCCTTTTATTAAATAACCTTGTTTTCTGTTTTGTTTGCAGAGGGAGAAGAAGCTATGTCACGTTGAGAAATCATAAAGATCAGTTGTATTATGCGTATATACATATGATACCAGAACAAATGTTGATTATCAGAATGTCATTTTGGAATACCTCTATACAAATACCACATTGTCTTTAGCCCGTATTAGTATTAGTATGATCCAATATAAAGCTATTATTCTTTATTTAATTCAGTATAATGCTTTTCCTCAAAAATAGTTTTGCTATTTTTTTAGGATTGAGACGCTAAGAAATGGTTTCAAATGTACATTACACGAACCCTGAACCATTGCAAAATGATGGTGGTTCTCTCTCTCTCTCTCTCTCTCTTTATTTTAATCATGCATTATCAACTACATATAAAGCAGCAACCAAAAACTTAGGGTTATCTGAGATAGGTGAAAGTAAGAGTTAAAAAGAAAGTCATGCTAAAACGGCGCTTCACTTCCCCCGCCCCCTGAAAAAAATAAAATAGATTAGTAGTCCTCCTCTCCAGAATCCCCCTCCCACCCGCTTTAATATCACATTTTCACTTGGCAGCCCAAGGGGGCGGGGGGGGGGGGGGAGGTGGGAGGAGGGGGTTAAACCCCCTACCCACCCCCCCCCCCCCCGCCGTAGATCTGCCCATGTTATCATATCATTCCACGCAGGGGCGGCGATCCGGCGGGGGGGGGGGGGGGGGGGACGGGGGGGGGGGGGGGGGACACGTCCCCCCCTGGAAATTTGAAAAAGTGCAAAACAAATTGTATAGCATATACTGAATAATGACTGCAACACACTTTTAGGCTCTGGAAGGCCCAAGAGTGCAGCGTTTAGACTAATCAAATTGCAAAAAAAATCTCGCTCGGTCGCTACGCTCCCTCGCATAACATCCTCGTAAAAAAAAAAAATCGCATTTCGTCCCCCCCGGTCATTAACAGAAATCGCCGCCCCTGATTCCACGACATTTTGGTCTTCCTCTTCTCCTCAAAAGGGACTTTTAGATTTGCGTGGACGTGGACGTGTTACGTCAATAAGGCACTGGCAATCACATGTGACGTCCTTTTAACCACTGGCAGTGCCTTAAAAGGAGGTCACACGTTGCAGTCCACGTTCTCATGGTGCAAATCTAAAAGTCCCTAATATTGATTTACTGGTCGAGGTTTATTATTTGCTGACAACGAAAAACTTCTCCAGGCCATGATCATGTTTCTGCCCTTGCCCGATCGCCTCCAGCTCCAGCAGACATGGCGCGGCAGCGTGCACACGCACCGCTACTAACGGCGCAGTAGGCCTATAACCACTGCTGACGGCGGCACTGCACTGCGAGCTGAATCGGTAATAATAGGCCTACTCATAAAACGAGAAATCTTGCACGCTAATCTTAGTTCCATTTCATTGGTTTAAGGTTTGAAAATTGAAACTCAATATTGTGTTAAAGTTATAACAGAAAGATTATCTTTATTTTATAATTCCACCGGGGCGATTTTTAATTTTGCAATCGCCCCCGTGAGCAACCTGACGGGGGCGATTTTGTAGCTCACGGGGGCGAATCGCCCACCGCCCCCGTGTATTTTGAGCGCTGATTACATTTCATTTGTTTCGTAAGCGCCTTGAGCACCATCTGGTTGATAAGTTACGCATTATAAATGTCTCATTATGTATATTATATGCGTGTGTGCATCCGTGTGTGTGTATTGACGCATAACAATTTCAAACTGTAATAAAATCATTACTTGATAAAGCCCTAAGGGCTAAAATCTGTAAATATATTACATTCTTGTACGGAGTATCTTAATTATTGCTTCTTCTTTTTTAATTTACCAATACGTAAGTGTGCAGTCCTGGTTGTTGTGTAAATATCTGTGCGTTTGTGTACGTGTGTGTGTGTGTGTGTGTGTTTGTGTATGTGTGCGTGTGTGTGTGCGTGAACGTTTAATTGGTATACACAGACATGTAGGTGGCGCTACTTCCAGCTGCTCCCTCGTCAGAGCGATGTTCTTCCGGACTATCATTTCGTTGCAGGCTCCTCCCAAGTTTGCTGTGCCGGTATCCATATATCGAGTAGATGGTTAGACCTAAAAACAATCAAAATTAGAAATGATGAAAAGGAAAAGAAAGTAATAAACTGATGGGATAGTTGACTGAGACGCTAAATCGACTAATGCCCAAGTAGGGTACAGGCTACGCAACAAATCAATCAGGCATGCATTCAGTTGAGACTGCCTGTGCTGGCAATAGCGAGTTTTCGCAAACCGGTGACGCGGCCTTCTACAACGCTAATCTTAGTGGGGGTCGCACTCAGAGCGAAAATTTCCGCGTAGCATCCAAGTCTACGACGGTATTCAGCCGTAGCTTGGGAGTCGAGCTAGTACGGGGTGGCGAGCTCAATACCCCGTAGTCAGCACTTGCGTCGCCGTGCGAAAACTCACTAATAGGGACTTTTATATTTACACGACGAGAACGTGGACTGCCGCCTGTGACGTTGTGTTAAGGCACTGGGCCGTAAAAGGACGCCACATTACCTTGAAAGGATGTCACACGTGGCGGTCCACATTCTCGTCGTGTAAATCTAAAAGTCCCAAATATAAAAAGGTGTAGTTACGTTATCAGGAATGGCGCGGTTTAATTCAATGACGTAAGCTAATAATGACTTACCGGCTACCAGCCAGATCAGGTAACGTAACAACGTGACTTCCCGGAGTTTTAGTATGAGTACTATATTACACACAATGCTAAGCCAAGGAATGAGAGGAACCCAAGGAACCTGAAAGATAAAATTAAAGGCAGCGTTATTCGGACATTATTAAACAGAGGCCTGTTTTATCGTATTATATTCCGTTTGATGCCAACGAATCTTAAAGAGAAAGTTGAGTTCCGGGGAGAGGTGGACAATAATTTGTGAGTATTTTCAGAGTAATTATGCAAGTGTGGATGAACATCAGAGAAATTGTTTTCCCTGAAAAGCATGGCTCTTCAAATGCCTTCATATTCTAAATATGGCAAGTAAAATGAGGCGTTATTTTATGCCACATTTTTGTGTTGTCCCATATTCATCTGTTTGTGTACAGTGCTTGTTACTTTACCAAGACCGGGCCACATTTCTTATCATAGTGATGATTCCAGAACCTTGCACACACCGATACTTATATGCTACATGATCAACTTTTTGTTATCGATTCACACCGTTTCTTTCACAATGCAATCGCATGACCATAATCAACTTTATCTTTAAATGACGTTGCAGGGGGTTACACGATGAAAATCCACAAACTTGTTGCCAACAAACATAAATAATCAGTATTAGACTCTTGGAGGATATAAATCGGTGTTTGCCTTTGCATGTCATACATTGTGGGTATAGTACAAGGGGGTTGTTTCACAAAGACTAAGATCGACTTAAAGTTGTACTTAACTGTGGCAGGCCATTCATGTCACTGGTTGCTCTCACCATTATGATCTTTGATCTTTAGATAATATTTTGTCCTTTATTAATGAATTAACACAAAACGTAAATTGGGTAGATTTGTGACGATCATTTTATACCTTGTACGTCTCTTGAGAGTCCAATGGCAGTAAAGTGTGAGAGAAAACAGTGGCGTGAATGGCCGATCTTAGTCTTATATGCAATGCAAAGGCAAACAGTCAGAGATATAATTCTGTCTTAGAGCAACAACAGTTTTTGTGATACCCTTCTCTCTATTCTCATTAAAACTCTTTTGTCTTGAACTGTGACATTTTGATTGGTATGTTATAGCATCCGTAGATAAAAGAAAGGGAAGATATTGGCATGTTGGATTAGTACTCACCCGGTAGTATTCTCCTGTATCTCTGTTCTGATAATGAAGAGGGATGATCAGAAACGTCCCGACGGCGCAGAAACTAAACAAGATGAGAAGCAGAATCACCCACCATTCACCAGCTGCGAGTTCCTTGGTAGCGTGTTCTGCGAGGGCTAAGGTGCAGAATGTGAAGAACACCGAACATAGGAGGCTGACCATGACAGTCGACCCTGGGTCAAAGCGCCCGAGTTCGCGTAGGAGAGGCGTTGAACGAAACCGATGTTTCAGGGCCCCAGGAGTGTGTGCGGATGTGGTGTCCAAGAGCGCGGAATTATCATCAACAGCCCGTTGGTTAGTAGCGTCCGGAGCTTGTTGTCCCAAGGAGGGCATTTCCAGTCCGTCCTCAGAATCTTCTCTCAGGATATCTGGTCCGTACCGGAGCAGGATCATGGCACCTGCTACAAAGGCGTATCCAAAGAGCACACCGATGGAGATGAATTCAACAAGTTCGGGTAGAGGAACGAACGTAGCGGGTATGGTCACAAAAAACATAGCGAATAGAGTGGCATAAATTGGGACACGGAAATAGCTATTGACAGTGCTGAGGCAACTAAAGAGCAGACCGTCGGATGCCATGGCGTATATTGATCTTGGGGTGCAGTAGAGATTCATCGCAAGGGCTGAAAACATGGCACAAAGAGCACCCACACCCACCACCCACCTCGCCCACTCGATCCCACGTGCCTGGAAGACACTGGCGAACGCCGACAGTTCATCCAGCTCCGTGTAGGGCACGACCAGGGTGAGGACAGCGGATGCAAGGATGTAGCAGATGGCGGTGAACAGGATAGCTATAACGGTAGCCCTCGGGATACTCTGCCTAGGGTTCACCGTCTCCTCGTTGGCCATCGCTATGGCGTCGAAACCGACGAACGAGAAGAAGAGCGTGGCCGCCCCGGCGATCACGCCCGAAGTTCCGTACGGAACAAACCCGCCGTAGTCTTCCCAGTTGCTGATATCAGCATTCATGAAACCCATGACGACGATTACGGCGATGACGCCAAAGTTTACGGTCATGCAGATGGCGGTGACCCACGATGATACATCAGCTCCCATAATCACAAACAGAGTGACCACAATTACCGCGACAGGAGCGAATACATTCGGATATGGTGCTATAAAAGGAACATCCCACAACTGACCGTCCATTAAGACTTCTACAGTAAAGTTCCTGAAGGCGTACCCTGTCAGGTTGTCCATGTAGCCCGTTATTGACGATGCCAAGGCTGCAGCGGTGATGACGTATTCCAGAATCAAGTCCCACCCGATGACGAAAGCCCACAGTTCTCCTAGGGAGATGTAGGCAAAGGTGTAGGCTGAACCTGTGCGGGGGATCCGGCAAGCGAACTCCACGTAGCACATGGCCGACAGTGTTGCAGCAACTGCAGCAATGACGTAGGATAGTATAATAGCCGGTCCGGTGACCTCCTTAGCCTGGACCCCTGTAAGTACGTACAGACCAGACCCAAACATGGCTCCCATACCCATGATGCAGAGCTGGAAAGTGCCCAGAGACCGTTTCAAGGGCGTCTCAAAGAGCTTTTCGTCGCTGTAAAGAGGTTTCCTTCGGGTGATCCTTGAACAGACGTTTCTACAGAAAGCCATCGCAAATCAATTACAGTCCAAATTGGTAAAGAGTTGGTTCAAGATTTCATATGGAGGGAGTTTTCATCAACTCTTTGCGCACGGCACATCAGTCTGGAAGGTGACCCTTCTTCAGTGTGCATCAAATCTGTCAGATATGCAAAATGAAAAAAAAAATGATACAAATGCTTTTAATGATGAAGTTGAGTTCTGGTCATTCAATTGCATTGTGAAACAAAAGGTGTGGAATGGAGTTGACTATGTAGCATGTAAGTAATGGTGTGTACTGCAAGGTTCTGGAGTCATCAAAATCATAATAAATTTGGCTCAGTCTTGGTATATATATGTGACTACACAAATGGTGCCGGGCCTAATTACGTTGATTTCTTTATCTTTCTATGCTCATTACTCAGCCAGTATACATTTTCTACCAAAATTGTTTGGCAAATAACATTTATTTGTAATCTTGAACATTCAGTGTTAGTTTCGTTTGATTCTGTGAGAATTCATTTTTCTTTTTTTACCAGAACTCAAGTTTATGTTTAGTGATTATAATAATGATAAATAGTATTGAATATTTTGAAGCTCTAGAAACTAAAAGTACAAATACAAATTTATGAAAAGAGGAAAGGAGAAGAATTATTTCAGCCATATCAGTTTTTTTCTCGCTATGATCGAGGCATACACATGCACATTATATACTCCGTGCTAAGAAGAAAATGAGAAAGGGAAAATGAAGGCAATTACAACAGAGACAGAGAGACCATAGCCCGGGTTCCAATTCATTTTTCTTTAAATTATAAGACGATGATCATTATTTTATCGACCATGTGATTGCAATATAACGCTACATAAAAATAGTATCAGAGTGCCGTGTTTTGTCATCAAATATTGTTAAAATCGCATGGTAGAGACGATGAACAAATACGAATAATAATGCAAGGTCGTTTGTCATGAAAATGTCAACTTTTATTTCTCTCTGCTAAATATTCAGAATCAATCGAATTAACTGAGTGGAATCAGCTGTTAAACAAACTTATCTTAAATCCTCAAATTTCAATTTGTTACTGCATGTGATTTTAGTATTACAGGTCAGCAATGGCGAACGATTGTCGCTAAAATTCAGAAATCGGTGCTTAGATTGCCTTTCCCTAAAAAGTATCATGAGACATCAAGCTACATAAAATTACGAACGATATGTTTAGTAAAATGTGTCACTTAAAGATAACCCTCGTGTAACCATATGCTTTTGTAAATTCAGAACCCTTATTTATACATAAACCTATGAACCGGGACCTACATAATACAAGCTTTGCTTTTTAGTACATCCCCCACTTTATTGATTGATTAATATGATTGTATTTTCTGTTATAACTATAATCATGTACATTATGTTTTCGATATTGTATGTTTAGTTATAATAATTATCATTGTTCATTATGTTCAATTATGTTATCTTCGATAAAGTGAAATAAATAAACTTGAAACTTGAAACTTGAAACTTGAAACTTGAAACAAACTTGATATTATTAAATATATTTGTGGCGTTCCACCCAGTAAATAAGATCGATTGATCGATCTGTATCAATAAGGTCGATTGATCGACCTGTATTGAAAAAACACAAGTCAGAAAAAATCTTGGAACCAGCGGGATTTGAACCTGCCATCTACTTTTGAACCTGATCAATCGACCTTATTGATACAGATCGATCAATCGATCTTATTTACTGGGTGGAATGCCACAAATATATTTAATAATTGAAATTTCTCCCAGGAAGCATTACATTTATAAAACTTGATATTGTCTTGAAAATGTTCAGAAAACATGGGATCTATAAAGAAGAGATAATGCGGTCGTGTAAACAAGCAAATTTTGTTAACGTTAATCATCCAGTACCAAATACACAAGCAAAACGTGAGCCCGATGAAAATAAAGGCAAACTTAAAGACATTGATTCATGACATATTGTCTCATTGGTATGATTGTTTTCTCTACTGATTTCTTTTCCAATTTTATTTTATTTGAAATATGTATTTTAATGTTTCCTTGTATTGATTTGGTTCATTTATTTTCACTCTTTGGAGGGGACGTGGTTAAACAAATGAATACTTCTTTAACGTTCCGTTTCCACGGCAATGGTCTTACTTTGTTACTTGTAATAACTCAAATTGTAATCATAATCAAACATTCGAAGTTATTAGATTCTTACATATGCTTCATGTTGTTGAAAATCATGATATTCCCTTACAAATTCCAGTATTCTTTCATTCGTTTTCATAATAATAATAATAGTAATAATAATAATAATAATAGCCTAATAGTCCACTCCAAATTTTATTAAACGAAACGGAAATTCTTTTTGCCCAATTGATCGTGAGCCCGGCAGCCACTGAGCAGCGCTAGATCGACGTTGCTCTATCCCTTATTGTTGAACGCCAAACAAGGTAGCAACAACTCCCATCTTTTAACGTCTTTTGGTATGACGCGGCCGGGGTTCGAACCCACGACCTCCTGGTTGTGAGGCGGACGCTCTACTGACTGAGCCAACACTCCGGTACTCATTATAACGGCTCAGCGCTCACTCCATCACCTTACGGTAACCAGACAGATCATTATTCCCGAGGGTCATGGGAAACAGAAAGTATTCATTTGAAATTATGCACTCTTTTTTCTTCTTGTTCAAATTGTAAACAAGTTCATTTTGTTAAAGGTGATACAAAGTTTTGGTATGGGGTCATGAATTTGGTTCAAATGAACATATTGGAAGCATATGCGATCCTACAATATTCAGTGATCGCTGTCGCGGTTGAAATCGAGTCTAAAGTGATGAAATTATAAATAATGAACTCTTTATGTTGTATAGCTCCTTCTCAAGGTCAAGATATTGTTTTGCTATAAAACAATGTTTCTTGACTGAAATCGACCAATTTGCTATAACCGTTTGGAATTTATATATCACAACTGCATGCTATGAGATTTTCATGGTCGCAGCTACCATCGTATGGCCGTAGGCGCTATTTAAAATGTATTAAAATTTACCCAGAGCACCGGTAAATTCTCATATTCAATTTTTCTCGAATGCAGAAGTGTTTTAGGAGCTAATGTTTTTAGTACTTATAATACATCCACAGGGGCATCCAAATATATCAAAATTGTAATGAATCACTATCCAGCCAATTTTCAAAATTTACCAAAACTTTGTAATACCTTTAATGTTAATCATCCAGTACAAAATGACAAAGCAAAACTCAAGCCAGATGCAGATGAGGGTATTGTTATTGACATTAATCTATGACATATGGTGTATTTTCATGATTGTATTCTCAACTTATTTCTTCTTTATATTTTATTTTAATTCAAAACAAGTATTGTACTATTTCTTCTTTTCTCTAAGAGTTGATAACATTTCAGCAACGAATGAAGAGTTTGGGTGGACAACTTGAATGTATTATAGCAATAGATAATGGGGACATGACGTATTACATAACATATTTATTATAATAATAACGAGAAGAAGACTGCACATAATGATAAGAATAATAACAATGTTAAAATGAGTGTTACCCCGTTTCGGGGGTAAATGGTTTAGATTCTGAAATGAAATCAAATAACGAGGCTGGTCAGAATATGTGTTTACTGTGAAGTATCATGTGTAGAACTGTTCTTTAAAGACACTATGTCCTTTTTACAGCCAACATCAAAGTCTGTAGAACTTTGTAGAAATTATGAATATGTCATGTATGTTCTATCTGTGAGATTTAAACTTAGCAGTATCCTATTATTCAAATTATGGAAGGAAACCCGTTTACTTGCTAGACTTCACTGTCAGACACTATTGAGTGGCTGACTATATTTTTTCTTCTTTGGTAATAACATACATAACATTAGCTGTAAAGGGTACATGAACATTTGTCTACATCAATAACTCACTTCTTGTAATAGCCAAAAATTTAACTGATTGAATCTTTGCGCAGGACAAAACGTACGACCATTCGGTACAATGGTCTGAACATCAGACAATTACTTACTAGCTCTATAGCTCTTAAGTCGATTCGACAACTAATAGTCGTTATTTTCCCACTTCAAGATATTTTCAAGCCCCCCTTTTTAAGGGTAGTTCTAAATTAGTATTATCTTTCAAATGGCGTTGGAATGAAACCAGGGCTCAAATTAATTTTTTGTCCACGGAGGCTCTTCCCCCGAAAAAGAGCCCCCGTGAGCCTTCTCACGGGGGCTCTTTTATTACTGACGGGGGCTCTAAATACAAATATCCATTGAATTGGTACCTATGATACTCCTCAATTATTTGCTATTTCATCATTATCATTTTAATCAGTATTTTCCCTCTTACAAATTTACAAGCTACATAGCTGTTACTGGCCTGTGTATATAATATATACGCATACAACACTGATCTTTATGATGTCTTTAACGTGACATATCTTCTTCTCCCCTTGCAAACGAAAAAGAAAACATGGTCATTAAAAGGGATTAAGCGACAAATAATGATTGTGATTCAAATTGATGCGAATATTTGTTTGAATAAGCACTATTATTCACCGGAATCATTTTTGTAAAAACAACTTTTACAAATCTCAGCTATGCTTACTGAGTTGAGACGTTCCATTCAATTTAAAATACCCATTTCATAATACACTTCTCCTAATCTCAAAGTGATCTTACAGCACAGTGGGAGAATTGCATGGCTGAGATTTGTAAAAGTCGTTTTTACAAAGAAGATTCTGGTGAAAAGCATTGCATATATTCAAAAAAATCCTTGCATCAATTTGAATCACAATGATTATTTGTCGCATGGCCCTTTTATTAAATAACCTTGTTTTCTGTTTTGTTTGCAGAGGGAGAAGAAGCTATGTCACGTTGAGAAATCATAAAGATCAGTTGTATTATGCGTATATACATATGATACCAGAACAAATGTTGATTATCAGAATGTCATTTTGGAATACCTCTATACAAATACCACATTGTCTTTAGCCCGTATTAGTATTAGTATGATCCAATATAAAGCTATTATTCTTTATTTAATTCAGTATAATGCTTTTCCTCAAAAATAGTTTTGCTATTTTTTTAGGATTGAGACGCTAAGAAATGGTTTCAAATGTACATTACACGAACCCTGAACCATTGCAAAATGATGGTGGTTCTCTCTCTCTCTCTCTCTCTTTATTTTAATCATGCATTATCAACTACATATAAAGCAGCAACCAAAAACTTAGGGTTATCTGAGATAGGTGAAAGTAAGAGTTAAAAAGAAAGTCATGCTAAAACGGCGCTTCACTTCCCCCCGCCCCCTGAAAAAAATAAAATAGATTAGTAGTCCTCCTCTCCAGAATCCCCCTCCCACCCGCTTTAATATCACATTTTCACTTGGCAGCCCAAGGGGGCCGGGGGGGGGGGGAGGTGGGAGGAGGGGGTTAAACCCCCTACCCACCCCCCCCCCCCCCCCGCCGTAGATCTGCCCATGTTATCATATCATTCCACGCAGGGGCGGCGATCCGGGCGGGGGGGGGGGGGACGGGGGGGGGGGGGGACACGTCCCCCCCTGGAAATTTGAAAAAGTGCAAAACAAATTGTATAGCATATACTGAATAATGACTGCAACACACTTTTAGGCTCTGGAAGGCCCAAGAGTGCAGCGTTTAGACTAATCAAATTGCAAAAAAAATCTCGCTCGGTCGCTACGCTCCCTCGCATAACATCCTCGTAAAAAAAAAAAATCGCATTTCGTCCCCCCCGGTCATTAACAGAAATCGCCGCCCCTGATTCCACGACATTTTGGTCTTCCTCTTCTCCTCAAAAGGGACTTTTAGATTTGCGTGGACGTGGACGTGTTACGTCAATAAGGCACTGGCAATCACATGTGAGTGTGACGTCCTTTTAACCACTGGCAGTGCCTTAAAAGGAGGTCACACGTTGCAGTCCACGTTCTCATGGTGCAAATCTAAAAGTCCCTAATATTGATTTACTGGTCGAGGTTTATTATTTGCTGACAACGAAAAACTTCTCCAGGCCATGATCATGTTTCTGCCCTTGCCCGATCGCCTCCAGCTCCAGCAGACATGGCGCGGCAGCGTGCACACGCACCGCTACTAACGGCGCAGTAGGCCTATAACCACTGCTGACGGCGGCACTGCACTGCGAGCTGAATCGGTAATAATAGGCCTACTCATAAAACGAGAAATCTTGCACGCTAATCTTAGTTCCATTTCATTGGTTTAAGGTTTGAAAATTGAAACTCAATATTGTGTTAAAGTTATAACAGAAAGATTATCTTTATTTTATAATTCCACCGGGGCGATTTTTAATTTTGCAATCGCCCCCGTGAGCAACCTGACGGGGGCGATTTTGTAGCTCACGGGGGCGAATCGCCCACCGCCCCCGTGTATTTTGAGCGCTGAATGAAACCTTTTAATTTTTTTTGCCCTGCAAATGGGACATAGTACCTTTTATAGCAAAACAATAAACCTGCAATAACATAATCCAATAATGAGACTAAATACACGTAAAATGGATTAAATCTAAATACCTGTATATGATTACTGATGATGTGGCATACTCTCTTGACAAAAAGAGTGAATTTTCACTCTATTTTCACTTTCTTGGGAGTGACGTCCGTGATCACTTGTTTAGGAGTGAACATCGATTGATTTTAGAGTGCTCTCTAAGAAGAAAAGAGTGAATGTTCACTCTATTTTCACTACATTTTCACTCTCCAGAAGAGTGACGTCCGTGATCACTCATTTTTTTTTAGAGAGTAGATTCAAACCCCTTACACTATGCTTCGCAGTCTCTTATTGTTTCCACTGCACCTTTCCACAGTACCTCTCCTATGGAAAAGAAAAATCAGGCAATTTGAAAAAAGAGGGGCTATATTCAGTTTAAGTGGCTGAGAATTGGAAATGGTCTGGTAAAGCCGTTTGCAGTAGATTGGCATCTCAAATGAATACATGCATTGAATCGGAACAATGCAATTTCTGTTTATGACAGTTTATGGTCTTTTTTAATACTAAGGGGCTAACACCGGGCTGACGTTTGAAGTAAATGCTTCACTTTGAAGTGATTATTATTTTGGAGAACATACACACACACACACACACACACACACACACGCACTAGTACACTCACCAGAGTTGAATTAGGATGGTGACAATATGATATTTCTTTCTATCTATCGATAGGTCCATATAATCATATACATCAAGGGCATGAATAATTCGCAGAGGTGTTGTGGACTAGTGGATAAGTCACTCGACTGCAGATCACAAGGTACGGGCTTCAAGTCCCGCCGCGGCATTACTGTCCTTTGGCAAGCCGTTAATCTACAATTGCCACCCTCCACCGCAGTTGTAAATCTGAAATGCTTGAGCGGTAGTTACTTTGGCAGCTCGGCTATACGGCCAGGATAATATGTGTAAAGCGCCATGAACGTCAGAGGCTGGCGGATACCGACGCTATGTAAATAACAATATTATTGTTATGTTAACCAACCTAATCAAAATGTGCATATGTGCGTGTTAAAATCATATAAATCAAGGGCATGAGTACTGAGTAATTTGGATATTGGAAAAATAACCCAATTAAAATTTGCAATTGTGCAGGTGGTGTAGCCGAAAGTGTAGCCGAAAGATAAAATCCGTTCCTCCTCATTGATGTACAATATTCCATACTAAAATGTACAAGATATATATAACTAAAGATACTTTTGTCATGATTAAATCAGGGATAATAATATGTGAATTAAACTCACATATCCCTGATTAAATTTTAATATTTATTTTAGCATGCGTGGGTGCAGCCATTTTATTGCATAGTACGCTGCACCCGACGGCCTTGAACAGCCATTATGCACCCATTCCTAGTGAGAGACATTTTAATTGAATGAAAAAAACTTATTAAAAAAATAATAATAATGAGAGACTGTCACAGCTGAGAACGTGAACACAATAATTTGTGAAATCTATATGATATGAAAAAGGTAGCAGTTGACAAATCTTTTTCATTCATGCGAAACCTACACTGAGGAGAGTTATCACAGTATGTATGCAGTCAGTGTTCTGACAATTATATTTCAAAAGATACTACCAGGTGAATGATATATATTTCATAATCAGACACACGTGAACACTAAGCAAGAATGGTGCAAGTATGCACCTTTAGGGGTGCAAACCGATGCAACACTGGCAGCACCTTTAGTGGTTAAATCCTGCACCCTTTAAAAGGGTGTCAGCTTGAACCTTCTAGGGACATGTTAGTACTATTTATGGTTCAATCCTGCACCTTAAAGGTACTATGTCCCTTATGCAGCCAACCTCAAATGCTGTAGAACTTTGCAGGAATTATGAATATGTCATGTATGTCCTATCTGTGAAATTTAAACGTTAGCAGTGTCTTCATATTCAAATTATGCAAGGAAACCCGTTTACTTGCTAGACTTCACTGTCAGACACTATTGAGTGACTGACTGGCTTTTTTCTTCTTTGGTAATATCATACATGAACAGAGTTGTAAAGGGTACATGAGCATTTGTCTACATCAATAACCCACTTCTTGTGATGGCCAAGATTAAACTGATTGAATCTTTGCGCAGCATAAAACGTATGACCATTCAGTACAATTGTCTGAAAATCAAGACTATTACTTTTGGGCTCTATAGCCCTAAAGTCGATTTGACAACTAATAGTCGTTATTTTCCCACTTGAAGACATTTTCAAGCCCCACCTTTTTTAGGGAAGTTCTAAATTAGTATTATCTTTCAAATGCAGTTGGAATTTAACTTTTTCATTTTTTTAGCCTGCAAATGGGACATAATACATTTAAGGGACGCAAATCGATGCAACACTAGCAGCACCTTTATGGGTTCAATCCTGCACCCTTTTTTGAAAGAGGGTGCCAGATTGCATATTTTAGGAGACATATATGTTAGTACCCTTAATGGTTCAATCCTGCTCCATTAGGGCAGGGAGGTGTTTTAACTCACATACCCTGATTAGGGGTGCAAACCGATGCAATAACAGCACATTTAGGGGTTCATTCCTGCACCCTTTAAAGGTGCAACCCTACACCCATACTCGAGGAATACTCTTTCACAGATACATACATGCCTGTTGTTTCTTGGTTAGTAATCGTAATCAATATATCTATTGTTAAAACGTGAATGTAATTGTTACATCATCAGACAAAATAATCTATTGGTTAATGATTGCCGAAGGAAAATACAAATCACAAAATTGATGTGCACTGTCATAATTTGCTTAACAAATCATGATAAATGTATTTGTATGTGAACACGTGTAAAGTAATCATGAATATGCATGCAATATGCGAACTTTTATTTTGCACCTTTTTTCGGTCGATAGGGTTCATTTTTTGTGGGAAGGGAGCAACAAATATAAAATACTAACACGTATCCATTTACAACCTGGTGGAGCGGGTCAAATGATGGAGCGAAACCGCTTGTCCAAGGGTTTAAACACCGAGCGAGAATCGAACCAAGAACCTGTCGTGTGACTGAGGGTCAAGAGTATTCACCAATTTGCGACAGTAGGCCTACTCCCAAGTAATAGTGTGGTATGGTATGTCACTGAAACAGCTCCCGTAGGATTTTTTGTGCCAAAGTTGATTTTTTTTTTTTTTTTTTTTTTGCATTTTTTTTGCATTTTTGGATTCATTGGGGTCCAAGCTATCATAAATTGATGGGGGTTCAAATTTTCCCGAAGACACCAAATTTTCCTATTGCGCGTTATATATGCCATTTTGGCGCCCAATATGGACCCCCATGGAAATGAAGGAGGGGTCTGGAAATTTGAACCCTGTCATTTTGGCCAATTTGGACCCTTTTGAAGCCAAAACAGCAAAAAAAATACTACGGGATTACATACCATACAGCACCATAATACCGGTACAATCTTTATTCAGTAATAATAAACAGTTGTAGTGAACAAGCTTACCCGTTCTGCTAGTGTTGAGGACTGGTTCCCTTCAGTGTGTTACTATTACATGTACCACATGTATGCTATATCAGTCATTGATAATAGTGAGGCGGAAAAACACGTACACACCTATACCATGCAATGATTTTGTTTTATGTATGGTAAAGTAAAAAGCGAAAGAATAGTAGGCTATGTGAGGGAAAGATTTTGGCCATTGGAGCATTTCTTCTTTTGTCCCGTACCGTACCGTATATGCATTTGTTATATAATTGAAGTGTTTCATTTCATTAAGGATGGGTAAGAATGAGAGGGAGGGATAGAAAGAAAGAGAGAAAGAGAGAGAGAGAGAGAGAGAGAAAGAGAGAGAGAGAGAGAGAGAGAGAGAGGGGGGGGGGAGGGGCGGGGTAGGGGGAAGCTTCATCTAGTGGGGGTGGGGTGGAGCTTGACAAAGTATGTAGGTATGGTAGAGGGAGGAGAGTGAGTGAAGAGAGGAGAACGTGTTGAATAGGGAGAGAGTATATTAGAGAAACATCCAGAGTGGAATAGAGAGAGAGAGAGAGAGAGAAAAAGAGAGAGAGAGAGAGAGAGAGAGAAAGAGAGAGAGAGAGAGAGAGAGAGAGAGAGAAAGAGAGAGGGGGAGAGAGAGAGGGGGGGAGAGGGGGAGAGAGAGCAGTAAGTGAGAAAAGCAGAGGGAAAGAGAGAGATGAACAAAATAGACAGGACAGAGGGAGGGTGGATAAGAGAGAGGGAGAGAGAGAGAGAGAGAGAGAGAAAGGGGAGGGTTACAGATTAAATATACTTTTGGAGGGAGAGTGGTATAGCACATTAAATAGAGTCCCCTTTGAGAGGAGATGCGAGTCCTTTCATGTTTTTTTTCTACAGTCCTTTCCATCCCCCGGAACATTTTTTTAGTTTATACCATTCGAGTGGAAGGGGGACATGTCCCTAATTCACCCCTTCCGTCCACCGCCCCATATGTACGCCTTGGACTTGACATTGAAAAGACCTTGTAAATAACAGAGTGAAAAACGGTTGTTGTTTGTCTTAACCATTGTTACGTATGGCAGGAGAACCTCTATAGGACATTTGCAGTCGATTGCTTTACAATGGATAAACGCGGCGTTCATACTTCAGAAATCCATTGTATAGCTATACAATAAGTTATTACAATTGTGAACTCGGGCTGAACGTCGTATAACGAATTGCCTGTTTGAGCGTAGTTCAGAATCAGGGTGTGTTTCACAAAGATTAAGATCGACTTTAAGTTGAACTTAACTATGGCCGGCTGTTCATGCCACTGTTTGCGTTTGGTCATACCATTTACTGGCATTGGTCTCTGAAGGGACGTATAAATCGTGGTCATAAATCTACACAATTTACATTTTTTGAAAGTTCATGATTGAAGGAAAAAATATTATCTAAAGCTCATAAAAGCTCATAAATAAGAGACCAATAGTGAGAGCGACCAGTGGCAGGAATGGCCTGTCATAGTTAAGTCCTACTTAAAGATAAACTCCAGTACTGGTAAAAAAAAAAAAAATCTCACAGAATCAAACGAAACTTACACTGAATGTTCAAGAATACAAATAAATGACATGTGCCAAACAATTTTGGAAGAAAATGTATACTGGCTGAGTAATGAGCATAGAAAGACAAGGAAATCAAGGTAGTATACTAGCCCCGACACCATGTGTGTTGTCCCATATATAGCTTTCTATGTGAGTGCTTGTTACTTTACCAAGACTCGGTCAAATTTATTATGATTTTGATGACTCCAGAACCTTGCAGTGCATACCAATACTTACATGCTACATGATCAACTGTTTCTGATCCTTTCCACACCTTTTCTTTCACAATGCAATCGCATTACCAGTACTAAAGTTTATCTTTAAAGTCGATCTTAGTCTTTGTGAAACACCCCCTGGCCTATTTAATTAATTTTGACATCCACCACAACAGCAATGAGACCTGCCCCACTTATGCTATATACGTTCACACGTAGGCGAGTTGGAAGTACGAGTAGTGGCGAGTTGACTTTTAGGGGTACTCGCGATAAATCTCCATTTACAGACCGTCAATACTACTGGTCCAGAAGGGATTAGACCACACAGCAAGGTCACTGACAGGTGGCTATCTCATTAACTCAGCTCTCAACTAACATAAGAAAAAAGGATCACGGGAAACCAACAGGCACCGATTGGGGAAGTTTTCTATATAGAGGGAGCAAGTAGCTTACAAGTAGGACAGTGGGGCTTTAACCCGGGGTGACTCTCCGTTACTTGCCGCAACTCGGCACAACTCGTCGCAACTCGACGCAATTCGCGTGAGGTTGCAGTAGCTCTCATTTTTTTTCTCCAGACATTTAACAAGAATTCAAGCTCTTGAGAATTCATGAAGATGCACCTCGGTCAAACTCGGAACAACTCGTAGTTAACTCGCGATAATCGTGGAAAACTCGTCATGCACTCTTTTCAACTCGTAGCTTCCGGAGTAAAAAAAGATATTAAGATGAGAAGACAAAAAAGAAGGGTATAGGGTTGAAGAGACAGGGACAGGGGATATGATAAAAACAGAGGAAGAGGGAGAGAGAGAGAGAGAGAGAGAGAGAGAGAGAGGGAGAGAGAGAGAGGACGAGAGAAAGAGCGGTAAGGGTTGAGAGGTAGACAGAGGCAGAAACGTGAGAAAGAATGAAAGAAAGATAACAAGAAGCAGAAATTAAAGAAGATGCAGAAAAGGGGCAGAATAATAACTTAAGGAACTGTTAATAATCCTTTTAATCATCTATAAACGAAATCAGCATCGACAACAAAAATAGAAAGAGGAAATTACAAAACATGATTCAATTAAAATGATACTAAACAATTTATTGCAAAAATACATTTCTGTTGATCATACTTTTCGACACGAATGTGCCGAGAGATGGCGCTACATAATAACTTGTAGTGATGTCATTAATCATTCTGAAACAAAATGTCAAAAATTGCAAATGTTTCTATATTTCATATGAACATTATTTGTGTCACCAATAGAAACAAAACAAAAAACATTTGTTCATATATGGGGGGGGGGGGGGGGTGGGGGTATCCATTAAAATTTCGTAAGGATTCCATAATCAATTAAAATTACCATGCTAAACACATACAGTGATAAACGATACGCTTATTATTATTTAACCATTTTCGTGGTTTGTCATCATTAAGATAAATATGTTCAATATTAATTATTTGAATTTAGAGTGATAACATATGAATGGGATTATGTAAATAAGTAATATGCCTACTTAGCAATATTCACATTAATGTATTGCATCAATCAGTCAAGACACAAGTTTTGAAACCGAGGTTGATATAAACTGTTTTGAAATATAATGCTATGGGTCAGTTATCCTTAAAATCCCTTTAAAATTAGTAGTGTAGAAATGCCTTCCAAGTGGCAAAACCATTTTTTCACAGCGATGAGAGAAAAAAAAAAGCAAGTTGACTACTGCATACTTTCCCATGTCTTTGTAAGTAACACACTGCCAAACATTAAACTATCAGGGACACTCCCTTCAGCGTTATTCTTTTTCCGATTATTTAATTGTACTCGGTTTTCCGGAATTGTGTCTGATTCGTAATACAGTCAAACCTGCTTTAGTGACCACCTGTCTACAAAGACCACCTGTCTACTAAGACCACCTGTCAACAACAAGCACATTTTTGTCTCCATTGAAAATGATTTCTCATTCATTGAAACATGTACTACAGGAACCTAAGACCACCTGTCTACAAAGACCACTTTTTGTGTTTCCCTTGGGCGGTCGCTGTAGACAGGTTTGACTTTACAAAGAAAACAAGACAAATGAAAACTTTAAGAAAATACAATCCAAATGTTTTATACGCCATCCCATCGTTTTCCCGTGTCATACCTTGACTATGGACAAACACAAACAAACAAGCAAAAACATGAAACAAAAAGAAACAAACATGAACTAAATAAAGGGAAGGGGGGCATCGACAAACCAAATGATCAAAAACGGAAAATTGTAACATCGAACAATAATTATACATTTTCGTATTGCAATTCGACCGTTAGCAAGAACTCATTGCTCATTGAAAATACTATACCACATATCTTTATTCTATTATGCCGCAAATTTTCCAGCGCATAAAGACATCTCTGTATTATGCGTTGAATTAAAAAAATGTATTAATACTATATTAATTCAGGATGGAACTCCCTTTCTTTTGATAGCACCATAAACTTTCTTTCTGATATAATATAAAGTATAACATACAAATAAGACGTTCATCCTTTTTTCTACTCGTTTTCACATAAATATGAAAAACAATACACACATGTGTGTCATTAACGAACTTTTCTCCGCGCTTTGGCAAGACGCTAACTTTTCTTTAATATTATTGGTCACTAAGTTTGATTCGCTTGACGAAAAATATGCCATGATTTCTATTGAAACCTCCCCTTTCCAATCCACTCCTTAAAAGCAAGAGAAAATGCATTTTGGGGATATCGACGTCTTATAACAAATGTTTATTTTGCCCAAATCTATAGTATCGAGATCAAAAATGGGATGCTTCAATAGACATACCGTTTATAACAAAATAAATATGTGATTTAGTGTTAACATTTGTAAGAGTGGCAAGACTAATGACTATGATGATAATAATACAACACGTATGATAATGTACATATGCATCATGTCGTATCTACTTGAGAGAGATAGGGACGTCACCAGAAGTTGTTTCTGATTTGTCGGGAACTTCTTGAAGCTATAGAATAGTTCCCAGTCATAGAGATTGTACTAGGGAGGAGATTATTTTAAGCACAATTATCTAACCTATGACCCATCTCGCGTATACGCGATGATAAGTGTGTCACAACTATCTCTCTCAACGCGCTATGATATGCATCGTATAAAGTAGGAAAACGTACTTGTTAAACGTAAGCAGTATATGCATAGATAGAATGCGTAAATTAAACATGACTCTCATACAGCAGTGATTTATATCTACGCCCATGTCCATGTCGTGTTGGTCTTCTCCCATCGTCATCCCCCATAATGCCTATGATAGAGATTGGCCTAAGTGCCTCCCCGGGTATTCACTTCCGGAGGCCTCATAAGCAGATACTGGACGTGTTGAACGCTTGGCAGGTTTAGGTGCGGGCGTCGGCGTCGGGCCGTTCCTGCGTTCGCGTCGAAAATCCCGCTCGTCCTGCATTGACATGACCGGGTTGTCGTACGTGTTATCGTAGGTGTGGCGGTACGAAGGCGGCGGCGGACGGGAGCGGTTGTGACGCAGAGCGACTTCGGTGTAATCGTGTGGCGTTGAATGACGGTCATGCGAATGTCGCTCGTAGGACTTGTGATGATGTGGGCGCCGTTCGTGACTGCCATCGTCATTCCGTTCATTGTGACGTTCGTTGTGATGTTCAACGCGATGTTCGTTGTGTCGTTCGCTTCTCTCGCGCCGCTGACTGTGTCTTCCAACGTCGTTTTGGTTATCATCAGTTACCGCATCGGTTCGTACCGCGTCATTAGCATCAACCCCGTGGTCTCCCTCGTGATCTCGTGGTACATCACCGTTTGCAGGTTCGGCAGGTGGTGCGCTAGCTTCGGCTGTCGCATCACCTTCCTGCTGCCTCCTATACGACGTCAGTTGCACCTCCTCATTTGTCAGAAACTCGGCTTCGAACTCGTGCGACGCCGTCAACGTTCCCGACATCAGCGTCCCGTTCACGGTGATCGTCTCCTTCCTCATCCTCTCGGCGATCTCGGGGATGAGCTGGTCGAGGCGTCGGATATCGCTCTTATTTCGCTCGACGACGAACCAGAGGATGAGCGTGCAAAGTACGGCGAAGACGACGACGACGGCTAGGCAGGAGAAGATGACCGCCTCCTGATGGGTGTTGTGACCCGGGTCGTCCGGGGGAGGGATGGCCGCGCGCTCGTCAGTTTTTCCCAAGTATTGTGACGTCACACCATGGACCGCCATCGTGTAGATGCACAGTACCGCTAGAAGAAACTTCATGATGTTGAGATAGTTCATTCAAGAGTTCATCAAAATTGAAGGGTCTTTGCTCAGAGAGAAATGATTAGCCGACGATGTTGATGATAGTGAAGAGCATCTGCATCTGTGTATGAAAGAAGGAAGAAAAAGAAAAACCTATTACAATGGCATATAATGGAATATACATAAACAGATAGATAAAAGATCATAGATAAATAGATCGTTAGATAGATGGGGTACAGACAGAGAGAGAGGGGGAGAGGGGGAGAGAGAGAAAGAGACAGTGAGAGAGAGAGAGAGAGAGAGAGAGAGAAAGACGGAGAGAGAGAGAGAGAGAGAGAGAGAGAAAGAGACAGTGAGAGATAAAGATGGAGAGAGAGAGAGAGAGAGAGATATAGATAGTTAGAGAGAGAGAGATGGGGGATACCTGAAGAAGACAACAATCAAGATTAATTTCGCAAGTTATAACATTGACAAATTTACTAACCACTAAAGTATTAGTATTTTATTTGTGTTTATTTTCTATATGTGCGTCTTAGAAAATGTATTATCACCTATATCTGTCTGTAATTCTATAATTATTGCTTCCTTAAAAATGCCCTGTTGGTGTCTACATAATCTTTTTAATATCGCACTCAGACCACTGTCTATTGAAACCCGACTAACGGCCTTCTACACAGACAATGTTTATTACCTCAATTCAATTTAATTTAGTTCAATTCGTTTCTCTAAATTCCAGCAAATATATAAAACATTCATAGGTACATATATGAATATGTCCGAGTTAAGAACCAACAACAGTATAGTTCAGTACAAATTTAACAAAATGGTATGAGAGGAATTAGGATGGCCACAAACAAACAATAAAAAAAAAACAGTCGGGGGTTTTGTCGAGAACTTACTTAGAATTTCACACGAATCCAATGCACGCATTAAAGTATCAACAGGTATGTAGTTCCATGACTTCTACCATGGACTAAGAACTGCACTTTTCGTTTCTAGATAATCTTTTTTATATTGCTGTCAGACCATTGTCTATTGGAAACCCGATTACAGCGGCTCCCTTAACCGACTATTATCCAATGGACATCCGTTGGATATCCGTTTTACCGTTGAATAACAAAGTGACGCTGTCCAAAGTGGTTAAAAGTGACAGCTCATGCCTTATTTCAAGGTTTCAACGTTATATGTGTACTTTGTGTTTTATTGCTAACGATTCTATCTTTTCCCCGACGTGTATCCAGTAATGCTCAACTGTTTAATTCTGATTTAAATTAAATATGAAGCTTAATTTCTAACGATTTCTTATTTTCTCCCCTTCTTCTTTTCCTCTTCTACTTCTTCCTATCTTGTTGTTGTTGGTGTTGTTTTGTTGTTGTTCCTCTTCTAAACTTTATTCAAATGGCTATAGCGTGGCTAAGTGACAGCCCATGTAAATATTTGTTATTTCATGTGTATGCTTATGTTTATTAATTTATTCATTTAATTTAATTTATTCATTTGTTTCATTTGTTTCTCCAGGTCACCCTCACACGGTGAAAGGTCAGTCTCTAACGCACCCCTACGTCAGGAACTGAAGCTAGTACTGAATATAACGCAATGCTATAAAGCCCTTATCCCATTTTGTTTCTTCTCCCTACCCCCTTCTTTTTTTGTTGGTCGGGGGGGGGGGGGGGGGGGTAGGCAGAGTTAAACGGTGACATTGAAATGTGGGTTCATCCGACATTGAATCAAAATATATTTCAGAAAGAGACAAGTTGTCAGCCTTGTAAAACTAGCGATTGTTAAACGTTTAATGTAAACAATAAACGAGCTAAAACCGTGGGAAGATAGTTGGAAAAAACACAAATACGTCCTGTTTGTATTATATGCTTAATTGTGAACTCTTAACACGTATTCACAATGCATTGTTGTAACTAGAAATTATGCTACCACGTAAAGCCTTTTCGTTATAGAACAGAACTATATACAGTACTTAGTTTACAAGGATTTTCGTGAAGTTCATTAATATGTAATTTGTATATGACTTTTTAATATAAAAAAGGAGTTTCATTTCGTTTAACCTGAAAATGAATAGTTCACGAATGATTATACCGAATGCATGTGTATTTAATAAACGATGATTAACATTTGCTGCTTTTCCATACATCGTTATATCAAACCCAGCGAAAGTGAAAAGGGGAAGGAGAAAGAAAATGTATATTATAGGCTAAAAGATAAATGATAATTTGTAGAAGAAGTAAATAAACTGAATAATGGTGATTAAAAAGCATTATTAGAGAAATGACAATAACAAAAGTAAAACTGATACGGATAATAGTATAATAACAATAATAAAAATAATAACAATAATAATCATGTTATTAATAATACTATTAATAATAATAATATTAATAGTACTAAATACAGTACGATAAAGAAAGAAGTATAATAGGAATATATATGCTAATTTTTCTCTCTTGAAATGCATTGCTCCTGGATAATCTCATCGAAATATCAGTTTAACGCATGTGGCATTAATAGCTCTCGAGAGAAGAAAGGAAATAGTTTCCTTGAACTGTCTGGTGTATTCAGATTAAACGTGTTTTACTCGGCTATGAGCCAGTCACAACTATTTGCCAAGTAAAAAGAATAAGAACAAAAAGAAAAAGAAAAAGCATTGGAACAAAATAAGAAGGAAAATAAAAAGGAGAACAGGAAGAACAATGAGGAAACATAGAAGAAAGAGAAGAAGTAGAAGAAGGAGAAGAAAAAGGAGAAGAAGGAAAATACAAAGGAGAAGAAGGAGAATAAGAAGGAGAAGAAAGAGGAGAAGAAAAACAAAGAATTATAAGAAGAATAAGAAGAAGAAGAAGAAGAAGAAGAAGAAGAAGAAGAAGAAGAAGGACAACAAGAACAAGAACAAGAAGAACAAGAAGATTAAGAAGAAGAACAAGAAGAACAACAAGAACAACAAGAACAAGAAGAAGAAGAAGAACAAGAACAAGAAGAACAAGAAGAACAAGAACAAGAAGATGAAGAAGAAGAAGAAGAAGAAAAAGAAGAATTTGAAAACGAAAAAGAAGAGGAAGTAGAAGAACAAAATAAAAAAAAAGGTGTAGATGAACGGAAAGGAAAGTGAAGAAGAAAGAAGAAGAATAAAACCACACAAACAAGAATAATAAACATGAAGGAAAAAAGATATAGAGAGATAATAAGGTAGTGCAAAAGGGGAAAACCAAACTCCTTTCTTTCACATACGAATACGTTTTGATATTAAAATTATCATTCAAGGTTCCTTTGAAGTAACACGAAGAAAAGGAAGACCCAAACGAAGACATGGATTGAAGGTCTAGTGATATCACTGACCACCCTCTCAATACACTATCACTATGAACATGACGTACAATGAAAGCGGACAAAATGTACAGTTCCTCAGGTAGACAAAGGAACATACCTTCACTGCTTTTATTTAAAAATGTGTGGAACAGGTGTCACATGCATATTCACCTGTTCTACACATTTTTACACGATAGCAGTGAAGGATGGTCCTTTGTCTACCTGAGGAACTGTATATTTTGTCCGCTTTCTTTGTCCGCCATATTCTTGCAGGAGACAGATGCCTATGGAAGGGTCCCATCACATGGGTCATAACGGGTCAGCCATGACCAATAAGACAACAACGATTATTCATTCATACTGCAGGGCCGTCATTCGTTACTATGACTGATTGATTGGTGACCTTTTGGCCGTCTTAGTTGGCTGATAATACAAATATGAGAACTGTCAAACATTATCTGACATATAAAACAATGAAGGCTACCAGAGGAGTGTTTCACGAAGACTAAGATCGACTTTAAGTTAGACTTAACTATGGCAGGCCATTAATACCTCTGTTTGCTCTCACCATTTACTGGCATTGGTCCCTCCAGAGACGTACAAATCTTGGTCACAAATCCAGAGAATTGTTTGTTGTTGATAATTCATTAGTGAAGGAAAAATATTATCTAAAGATCATAATGGTCGAGCAACCATTGGCATGAATTGCCTGCCATAGTTAAGTTCAACTTAAAGTCGATCTTAGTTTTTGTAAAACACCCCCAGAGGGTGCTATTAACTATTGTCGGAAATATATACGATATATTATAAACAGAAATGGCAATGGGTGTGAAAATCCTTTATTTGTTATCACTTACTTGAAGAAAACTATTGGTGAACACTCATAATCATAATGATGGATACTGTTATTATCGTAAATGGAAATTTGAAATAATAACAAATAGAAGAAGACAAATTACAGTTTTTTATTGTAGATACTTTAGATTTGAGAGGAGGCGTAAACTACGGTTAAGAAATGTAAAAAAAAAAACCTGCGTTTTTTTCGAGGAATTATTTACTCTATATTTCTTTACCAGCACCGGAAATACATCTTTTTCAAATTTAATTCCACGCATTGCAAAAATACATTAATATTTTTTCAGTATGACATTAAGTCCAAAATCTCAATATCCACAATACCACGAATAGTACGTCAAACTACTGAATATGAATAATGCAAACTATATATTCCACACAAATAACATCTCCCTTTTTCTTTCTCGCTGTCTCTCTCTCACTCTCTCTCTCTCTCTCTCTCTCTCTCTCTCTTTATGTTTCATTGTTTTTTATTTTTTTTGGGGAGGGGTAATTTGGATCATGGCAACACACAGGTAAAATATGTTGACATTCGCGCATTCACAGGGGGAGGGGGGCGCAGTGCATTTATTTATGTATACTTAGTAAGGGATCATAGTCAATTTCATAAACCACATTGGGGAGGGGCACAGCTCCCTCAGACCCCGGGAATAGACCACCCTCCCCCTTGATTTCCTAGTCGGGTCACAGAAAATACAGGAAATACAATTATTCTTCCCCAGAGCATCGTTCACGATAGGAACAAGTAGTTGCCGCGGATTGTCTGGTGAAATACTTATTGAATGACTCCACCGCATGTGGAATTATCGTGAGAAGTTGGTATTCCCTCCCTTTTTTTTTGTGGGGGGGGGTGGATATTAACCTTATTCAGTTAAAGGTACTATGTCCCTTTTGCAGCCAACCTAAAATTCTGTAGAACTTTGCAGGAATTATGAATATGTCATGTATGTC